GCAGGGGGGACGTGGGCCTGGGTCGCGGAGCCGCGGCGCCCCGAGGAAAGTCCGTAGGAGTGACGCTGGGAGGGGTGAATCTGAGCGCGACCGAGACGGAAGGAGAACCTGAAGAGAAGTGGGGGCGCAGGGGTGCAAACAGAGAGACTTGCTTGGGGCTACCAGGGGTGGACTCGGGTGGGCGGCCGGCCCTCCCTTACCCCCAGGGATGCGCCTCCGGTCAAGGCTTGTTTGTCTGGGGACGTTCCAGTCTCTACCCTCTTCAGATGGCGACCCATTATTTTATAACTCACGCTTATTTTGTAGTTTCTAGTCGTGTTATTGTTAGATTTCAAAACCGGGATAAACGGCGAGCCTCGGGGTGCCTATTTATGAATCAGAGGTGATGCTGGCCGCCAGGTTGTCCCGGTATCCCTCCATCCCCATCTTACAGGCTCCTCCTGGCTGACAGATCCCTGCCGCCTACACTGAACTCTGGAGCCCAGAGACTGGGCTGACCCTTAACCCTCAACTCCTCTGGCCTCTATATAACTCAGACATTTTGGCTACACTGATCCAGGCTCCTCTCTTGTTCTCCCTCCCACCTCTCCTCACATGGCCATGCTCAGTATGGCCTTGTTTATTCTGGACCCTCCCAGATGTCTCTGCCTCTGCCTGCTCTTTCCATTTTTGTCTACAATAAACCTTTTCCACCGTTCTTAGTTAGGTTTTGCACTGGTGTAAACACACACACACACGACCAACATGCAAGTTTGGGAAGAAAGGGTTTATTCTGCTTACACTTCCACAGTAGTAAAAGTGCTCATCATGAAAGTCAGAGTAGGAACTTAAACATGGCAGGAACCTAGAGGCAGGAGCTGATGCAGAGACCATGGAGGGGTGCTGCTTACTAGCTTGCTCCCCATGGCTTGCATGACTTGCTTTTTTAAAGAATTCAGGACCATCAGCCCAGGGATGGTACCATCCACAATGGGCTGGGCCCTCCCCCATTAATCATTAATTAGTCATTTTCTTAACTAATTAAGAAAATGCTTTACAGCTGGATCTTTATTCTCTGTCTCTGTCTCTCTCTCTCCCTTTCCCTCTTTCTCGTTTTTTGCCATGGGTGTCAGGTCCCTTGAAACTGGAGTTACAGAAAGTTGCAAACTGCCACATGGGTTCTGGGAATTGAATTAGGGTCCTCTGGAAGAGCAGTCAGTACTCTTAACCCCTGAACCATCATGTCTGCAGCCCCTTACAACCGGATCTTATGGAGGCATTTTTCTCAGATAATTCTAGTTTGTATGTCAAGTTGACATAAGACGAGCCCCACATACCTAGGAGCAGTCATGTCTTCTTTACTTCTTTCCCTCATGCAGTTATGTAGACAATCATGTTATATAGATAAAAGACACCCTCTCCAGCGCTGTTGGTTTTAGTTAATTTAAACAAAATTGCCTAATAAATCACAGACACAGCCATAAGTATATTTCTTTTTTTAAAGATTTTATTTATTATGTATACAGTATTCTCAGTATGCTGTCTGAACGTATGCTTACAGGCCAGAAGAGGGCACCAGATCTCATTACAGATGGTTGTGAGCCACCAGGTGGTTGCTGGGAATTGAACTCAGGACCTTTGGAAGAGCAGGCAGTGCTCTTAACCACTGAGCCATCTCTCCAGCCCTCATAAGTATATTTCAGCACCGGCATGTGTGTGCATGTATCTCTATATACATATATGTGTGTGTACATGTATGAGAGACTGGACAAGGGGAACATCGTAAAAAGAAATATGAAAATAAGTTACATGTTCCAGTAAACACAAAACACAGATAATAAAAGTATTGCGAGGAGCAAGAATGATGTAAAAGCACAAGTTAAAGACAAATGTGTACTGAAGATGGAAGTGAAAGAGTAGTAAGAGGTAAACCAAAGCATAATGACCAGAGTGTTAGAGATGTGCAGATAATTTAACAATCAAGCAATCGCTCTCTCCCTCCCTCCCCTTTCATCCTTCTCTCCTTGTTCTAATGCCCACCATTATTTAGTGTCGACCCATCTTTCCATACTTGAAGATTGTTTGCTTCCTACTACAGAAAAAGTATGCAGCTTCCTATCTACATTAGCTCCAATTAGCCATTGCCTGAACACATACACACAGATATCAAAGCGTTGTAAATGCTTGCAGTTTTGCCCATGAAAAGAATAATTTTAAAACACACAGAAAAAGGAGTATTTGTTATTTGGGGATAAATTATTAAAGGCTAGTCAAACATTTGTGACTCCGTGTGTGCCAATAGAATTCCGTGATCACATTCCTCAAACATGAAGTCTCAAGTCAGACTGTTTATATGTAAACAGTGCGCTAAGAAATGTGTCTAACAAAACCCGGTTGTCAAATAACTACTAAACATACAACTAACAAACTCGTTCTCGCGTGTACACCATGGTAATCTGATGAGAGATGATCTCAGCTTATCAATTATAGACATCACAGCTGTTGAACACAAGCTATTTTTGTTCATTCTTCAGATCACCTTTCTTGCTGACAAGAGATCTCACTTAAGCATCTCAGCCTAGCTGGCCAATTGGAGAAAGCTTCCCAGCTATTTTTACGGCTGAACTTTTAACCGATTAAAGGCCATTCCTTCAATAGTCATGCAACTGGGTAAGAAGGCCATATGGCTACTGTGCTTTTGAGAGCCACACATGTATGTCTGTGTTACCCTAATAACCCAGTAATGGTGTTAAATCGTGAAGCTACGTGAAGGAAAGCTATAAACTGAGGTCTTCAAGCACATCGCCTTAGCTATTTGCCAACAATGAAAACGTCGTTGTTATTAAACTAACCTTAGAGTTTTATGGTAAACATAAATAACACTTTCTTGTTCAAGAAGTTAATTTAGGCACAATTATTTGCCATCAAGGGAAGTTATTGTCCCCCCTGTTTTATAGATGTTGAAAACTCAGTCCCCCCCCTCCCAAGGCTACAAAGCTAGAAGCAGAGCAGCAGGCTCAGATCAAGTTCCAACTTGTCCTCTTCCTTGGGTTTCCTCACAGCTGAAATCATGCGGTACTCTGAGAGCAAGGTATTCACAGCCAGAAGCCTGTTCTCACATTTTCATTTCTAGAGCAGACCCGTTTTCGAGCCGGAGGAGCTTTATTAGTGGGGAAACGGAACTCTACATGGGTGAGACAAACAGAAAAGTCTCTAAGGTCAGCACCATTTTCTGTTGTGCTCTGACCTTCATATATGATTTCCATGTTTGCTGCACCCTACTCAGCAATCCAAAGCTCTCTAT